CTGGGGGAGCAAAATTGAGCAAAAAATGGCCTGTTTTTTGCTCATTTCTGCCCTCCCCAGCCCCCAGGACCACTCTGCAATACTCCTAAAGGCTGTGCATGGCCATTTTGGTGAAGGGGGTGGGGTTTCAGGAGGCAAAATTGCTATATTCAGTGTATAACATGCACCCAGATTTTCAGCCTCTTTTTTGAGGGAAAAAGGTGCGTCTTATACTCTGAAAAATACAGTAATTAAAGGGCTCAGGGCTCCATTTACCAGCCAGCTCCTGCAGTCCAGCTTTCCTAGGAGCTGTTTGAATCCGTGATCTCTGTTGGGGTCAAGCTACTGTCAAGAGCGTTTCCCCATGTGGCGAGAGGTTGAGTCGAGCAGCTTGAATGTTAGAATGAATCATCCGATTGCGGCTAACAAGGGAAGAAAAGCTAGAACAGAAACGTGGTACACACAAGGGACGTTTGTGTAGCAGCGTGCAAGCATTGTCTTAATTGAAAGCAGGTTTAAATCTCATTTGTGGAAAGTCTTTCAGGGATTTCCCTCCTCATTAAAAGAACTTTACAAACGAGTAGGTGGCTCGTAGAAATAGTGTGAAGGAATCTGTTGCAGCTCTAATTCTGTCATGAGGAAAGGCAATATCTCTCCTTCGACTTGATTTTCTCACTGAGTCATCCTAGGCAAATAATAACCAAACTTTATCATCCCCCCCCCCAACACCTTTTTTTGAATCCGAAAATACTTAATATAGATTGTTGCAGACTAACTGGCTCATCAGAACTAGCCAGCTTGGTTTATGAACCAAGGTAATTCAAACCCAGACAATTAAATTCATCAATGTAACATCATGTCTATATCTAATCTGGTTGAATAAATATTATTGTAAATTTCCATTTGGGCTGCTATCATCATCTTTTAACAACCCCATAATCCCTCGCGGGATGGAATCTGGGCAACTGAATGGAGCTAGGAGAGTATTTACTGGCCGGATGCCCTTCCTGTTAACAATGCAAAGTCTTGTTCAGCAGATATATTCAGTGTGCCCAGAGAGTGAAATATCTGCCTCTGCGTAGGATTGAACTCACAGCCTCCTGATTGTGAGAGGAGAGTTCTACCTCTAGGCCACTGCGCCACTCTCTTATTTGGGCTGCTATATCTTCCCTCTATGGTGAAAGTTCATCAGAAAACCTTACGTACGGTCTATGCAGGCTATCCGAGGCTCTTCCCACTGCCCATTTGATTGGCATCGGATGATGGGCACATGGCGCTGTAGGTAACCCTGGCTGCACTGGTAGCGCACCATAGCGTTGATCTCATAGCGGTCTTTCTTCTTGCCAAAGTGCCTGGCATTCTCAACTGCGGGAGGGTCTCCACAGGCAACTGGGGGAGAAAAGGAGATTTTTTTTTCCAAATTGTTTTCTGCTCAAAGCAGCAGTCAGCCAACAGGATACTCTCAGCTGCTCCCATAGTTATAATTTCTCATCATCAGAATGCACCAGACTATATAAACATAGTCAAAGGGATGAAAATGTATAGTATCAATGTGACTTTTGTGTCCGGACTCTAAACCATCTTAATTTCCTGGAACGTCTGTGTTGTCATCCGCGGGTGGCCTCCGGAGCTGGCAGCAGAGTCAGACAGTGAGGAGGTTGGGGAGGAACATGGGCCAGTCCTGGAGGCTGGGGAAGGTTTGGACAAGGGCTCTGCGTCAGAGGCAGAGAGGGGGCCAGAGCCGTCTGACAGTTATCGGCTGCCTCCGGAGCCTCTGGAGCAGGGGTGGGTTTCAGGCAGTTCGCGGCGGTCCCTGCGAACCGGTTGGTCGGCGAACCCGGAAGTAAGTAACTTCCGGGAACGCCGAAGGATCCACCCGCCCTCCCGCGTTTCTTACCCGGTTTTGATGAGTTCTGTGCTTCCACGCATGCGCAGAACACACACAGTGCTTGCGCGACCTTCCAGGAGCACCTGGAGCATCGCACAGGCGCTAGTATGCATGCGTGCACTGCGCGCGTGCACGAGGACACTGCCGGCCCCGTTCCAACCGAACCGGCGAGAAACCCACCCCTGCTCTGGAGTCTGACATCAGCAAGGCAGAAGAACAGTGTGAGCCTGTTCCCAGTGTCCGCATGCACAGAGCTGCCAGAAGGCAAAAACAATTAAGAAAAAAGGAGTGACTCGGGAGTAAGGCTTGGAGATGATTGGCCGCTCCCATAATGCATAAAAGAGCAGCAAAGGGACGTGAGCTTTTGCAGGAAGCAATTAGTTCATATGATCAGTTTTAAGCTCTGAGAAGTTCTGTTTGACTCTGTGCTACGTTTGGCCATGCAAAACTAATTAGGTCTCTGACAGCGTTTCAAGGGAGATAAAGGTGGGTACTTATCAGCATTAACCTGAAAGACTGTGGCAAACATCTGTCGGACTCTTCACACAGACTGTTTGTGAATCATTACGGGCTGTGAATGACCATCATCCACAGCTGTTTAAATAAAAGAGGGTTTTGGGGACTAAGCATGTGATTTATGTTTTCTTAGGAAGCCTAGGTCAAAATAGTTTGATTTTTACTTCCACTGGTTAACCCCTTGCGCTTAACCCTGAAAATTGTAATTTTTCATGTTTATGTTTCAACTGCTGGACTTGTTTTAGAATTATAGTTTGGCCCACTGACCCTACTACAGGTACCTGGTGCTGGTTTTTTAATCTGATCTTGCCACACGAAAGTAAATAGGATAATATTGAGCTGTATACCAAAATATCAGGTCAACTTTGAAATAATAAGGCGCACTAGTGGGAATTGAGTCAGTGGTAAGAACAAAGTGACTTTGTTATAAATTACATGAAGAAGCTCCTTAGATATTAGAACCACGGTGGCACTGTGGTTAGACTGGAGTACTGCAAGGCTACTTCTGCTGACTGCCAGCTGCCAGCATTTCGGCAGTTCGAATCTCACCAGGGCTGCTTTAGCCATCCTTCCGAGGTGGGTAAAATGAGGACCCAGATTGCTGGGGGCAAATATGGTGACTCTGTAAACCGCTTAGAGAGGTTGTTAACCCACTGTGAAGTGGTATAAAAGTCTTAGTGCTATTGCTATATTACAAATAATATTTGTATTTTATAATACAAACAATACTGATATAGGGAGGAGTGGTTTGAGACAGACTTGGGGAAACAACTGCCTGAGGACTAGTAGCACTGCAGCATGTGGTTATGCTTAAATTTCCCATGGTGTCAAAGTCCAATGTGGTATGGAAGCATTGTAGGGCATTTAAGTAAAGACTAGATCCAGTTATGTGGTGCTGATTGAAACAATAGGCCAGAAACTACAGCTTGGGGGAAGTGCTATGGCCTTTCTTTATTAACTCCAGGAGACATGGATTATGATCTTCTCTCCAGGAAGGAGAACAAAGGTCACACCAGGCACTAAACAGGCTTAAAGATGTGCAGAAAATTGTACCTGAACAATGCATGTACTCTGGAGAAGTCCAAATGAAGGCATGTTAAATTACCTGGAAGAGACCCATGAATGTAGCAATATCCTTAGAGTGAATTATTGCTTCCCAGAGGCCTGTTTTCTGCAACTGGTTATGATTAGCATGTGTTACACTTGCAACAGGGCCAATAGCTTTCAATATTTCATGTTCAGCTGCTGGGACAGCCTGTCCTTGGATCTGCCATGTCTTCCCTCGAGTTTTGCCTCACTGCTTAGCACCTTTAATCATTGCTCAATCCTGACAGTCCTCAGGATCTGGACTGCTGAGTTGCAAGCCTTTTGCAGTCATCGTCTTGGACTGCTTGATTGGGGCTGTGAATCCTTTTGAACAGGACATTGAGCCTCCCCTCACTGGTGGGATTCAATTTTTTTTTACTACAGGTTTTGTAGGCGTGGCTTGGTGGGCGTGGCAGGGAAGGATACTGTAAAATCTCCATTCTCTCCCCACTCCAGAGGAAGGATACTACAAAATCTCCATTCCTTCCCTGCTCCAGAGGAAGGATACTGCAAAATCTCCATGCCCTCTCCACTCCAGGGGAAGGATACTGCAAAATCTCCATTCCCTCCCCGCTCCAGAGGAAGGATACTGCAAAATCTCCAT